ACTAATTGAGATTAAAACTAGGAGTGAAACTAGACACGCATTTGAGCAAGTATCGAAACTGAAAAAGTCACATTCACGGGACAGAAATGAACCTTTTCAGAATAGTTTTTGAATGATCTTAAGCTAAATCAGAACAAGTATAACCCTGCGTTCGATTATCCTTCCGAATCGGTTTTCCGTGGAAGCTGCCTAGCGACACGCGTGACACGCCCCTTTTCCTAGGACAGCACGACTCGGGGCAGAAAAAGTAGACCAAGCAAAGTTTCCGAGTCAGAATCCAAGCTGGCTATACCCTCTGTGACGTGTGAATATTAACTGTTTTCATTGTGTTTGGACACTTTGGTGGTTTAAACTACAATTTCAATCACTCGTATTACTGCAATACCTTACTGCATCCGTATCACTGCCTGTGGGTTTGGTAGTCAGTGTTGTGGTGAGGCCAATATTGAACAAATACTTGATATAATGGGCATTAAGATCCCTAATGTTGTAACGGAAGAGAAATCATAATATAAAATGAAGTGCAAATTCCAAAAAATTTAAGTGGCAGCATTTTCATAAGATGAGGAATAGTCATAATCATAATCCACATAGTCCGACATGCGAAGCATAATAATACGCTTCAAGCTCGAACGTGATGTCAAATCCGAGGTCCAAGTGGGAGTTGGAAGATAATCGAACGTAGGGTAAGATCACATAGATGTGTATATGCCCATGGACCACTATGAAATGTACCTTTGGGTTCACACAAAATCACATTCGATGGTCTAAATAAAGATAGTTTTTTATTATCATCATGGTCTGGGAATCAATATTGAGTATCAAGTCTATTCCTTAGTGTCCAAAGTTTGAATTGTAGTATCATGACAACACTAGTCTGTATTCCTCATCACTATTGTTTCATCACACCTCAAGCAAAAATATGCAGATTTGTTCAATTCAGAATATTAAATAGTTTTGACCACCGGTAGTTTAGAATTATTTTAGACAAAACTAGATCATTTGCATAAGAATCACAGTTGTTTAAAAGCACTGCATATTATTTCAACCACACTTTTCATGCAAGTGAGATAAGAAAAGTGCACTTTCTAGATGAATCATTTTGAAGGTGAATCATGAAATAAAAATTGTATCAAGTCTAGATAGAAATGTAAGTCCTTTAAAGGGCCCACTTCGCACTGTTTAACACACAAATCCTGTATATTTAGGCTTTAGTTCTTTTCTCACACTGAAAACACACTGTTCCACCAAGACATGTTGTAATACAGGAAGTGCTCCACCGCGTTTTTAAACTCCATACACCTTCACTAGAACAATTTGGAGGATTTCAGCCCTGGAATTGCCAATTTCTACCGAAGTAAAAAGTAAAAAGGTAGCTGTTAACTTCAAAACTACCTCTACGTGACATCAGAAGGTGGAACAGAGCATTTTGAGCTTTGGAGAAGTAGACAGTTCCATATATCTTTCTTGCTTTATTACTGTCTCCCCCTCCTCCTTTCTCCTTTCTCCATTCTCGTTCAGTCTCTATCGTTTCAGTCTCTCTATTCCTCTCTCCTCTTGTAAAACATATCCATGGAGCATTGCTTTATGACGCAGTAAAGACACAACTATAGGGTAGTGCCCACAGGATTACAGTGTGCCTCTGCTCTGTCCATGTTCAACAGTAAAAAGACCGAGAATCACACGGTCATGTCTCAAGTCACTCCACACAACACATGCGCTTGAATATAAGACACTTAACCACTAAACTACTGTGTATTTTAAGTGGAACTAAACACTAAATCCACTTTTTTTTGCTCCCGAATTGTGCCGATATGGATTTTTTTGAGCTGATACTCAAATGATATTATATATAGTATATTATATATTATAGAATTATATATTCATAATATAATTGTAATATTTATATAATATTTATATAATATTATATAATGATATATTATATATTTGACATATATATTATATAATATTATTTGGTCTGATAAAACTAGTATAACTGATATTATTTGAAGATATCAATATTTATCTTTTAAAATCCATACTGAGGCCCAAAATTTACCCCAAGTAACAATCGCAAAATAACTTTTCACTTTTGTAAAAAACTATAACAAAGTATTCATTATTTCACAAACATAATGCTCTTCTATTTAAATTTTGACTCATAAGTCTGTTCAAAAAGAGCAGTCAAATATCAGTATAGATATCGACTGATACAGATACTGGATCAATATATCGCCCATCCCTGACTGTGTTAAGGTATTTCTAGTCATTGTTGGCAACTTAATTACAAACTAAATGAATTTGCAGCTTACTAGTCACCTAAATCTAAATGTGTGGAACCCGACTCAAAACAGTGCGGCGCGAGACACGTTTTGAAAGCTCATTGTGGGTATGGGTGGGAGCGGGACTGCATAATGCAGGAGTGGGTGGGTGGGATGATAAACTGCAGTCCCGCAAACTAAATATGACTGTAAAGTAAAATATACAAATGATGAATGTTTGCCTATCATGCATAATTTGTGCTGGATATTTCATTTAGCCTTAATAAAAACATTTTAAGCAGACAAAATTTGCGTATGTGGTCTAATCTCGTGCACATTTTCGACAGTTCCTTTCCGCTTCTCTGTGTTTGATAGAGCTTAAGAAAGCAAACATCCCCATCTTGTAGGACTTGCAGGCGGGGGAGGGACAAAATATCTCAGATGCAATATTCTTTGCGGGTGCAGCCGATAGTGGGACTGAAAATTCAGTCCCGCGCAGACCTCTACTCTGAAATTTCAAGTAGTTGGTGACATCACAAAAGACTAACCTGATCACAGAACTTTTGGATGTCTATAAAACTATACAACTTTTGTCCAGTTGACTGCCCAGTACTGCCCAGTTTAGCAGCTCTATTTGAAAAGTGGTTGTGTGCGGAGTTCGGATGTTTATTCACACTTTAAAACATAGTTCAAATGTATTTTTATTGTGATAGACCTCGTTTCTTATCTCATTTTTTCCTCAGACTTGTAACTTCAGAGCACACTTGAACCAGACAGCTGTGGCCCATCTCCCTCACTCCCGGTCAGACATCTTGAGAGCAGAGCGCTGTAGTTTGAGCCTGGTTTTTATTGGCTGTGGTGCAGTTTTAGCAGCGATTCTGAAATGTTGAGAATCACAGTGAAGCTTTTAATGCGTTTTTGCTCCTTGAAGCAATTACTGACCTTTTAGACAGAAAAGCAGATAATGTGTGAGAGATATGAAAGCTTGGGAACTGGATGTGTACAGTACAACTTAGCTCGAAAATAATCGCCCTAAGACACCAAATGCAACAACAACTAAAAACACAAATCATCTCACAACAGTTTGTTTACATTAACATTTAGCATAATCTGTTTTCCTTGAGCAATATTGTTTTGAATAGAGTATTAAGAGGCCAATAAGGTATTCTAGATACTGTATGTGTGGAAATGCAAACAGCAATCTTGTGATGTGGGTTGCATCTGTAAAATGAACTTCATTATTCTAGGGTCATATGTGGTCAATAAGTATCTGTCCGTATTGGGTTTGTTTATTTCAGTGACACATGGGAAACTAACTAGATTTTCTTTTTGTGCTTTTCAGTCATTTCAATGGATACATAAGAAGACTGAATTCTATCAACTGGAGTGAATATGTTTCACCACTGTTTTTGTGAAATCATTTGTGCTCCTAATGGGTTATCTAATACATATAATAACAGTGTATTGTATTTCAAGACACCCAAAGTTTTACAGTGCATTATTCAGAGACTAAGATACTTTTGTACCACCACTAGCCTCATGCACACTCCACATTCATAATGAGGGGGAAGTGTCTTGCCTAAGAACACAACGAGAGATTACACTAGAACTACTGTCCACTGGTCTCCCTTCCCAGTACTAATCAAACCTGTCTTGCCCAGCACACCCCCTGGTTCTGAAAGAAAATTTGTCATTATTTTCCCCAAAGACTTTTAGTAAAATATACATATATATTATTATTATTAAAAGTTTGAAAGCTTGCTCAGGGCTAATCCGTGTTGTGGAAACTAATGACCACAAGACCTAATTGTATTTAAAATCATTTTCTGAAACTTCATGCACTGCTCAGTTATTAAAGCATTTAGCTGAATATTGAGTTTTAAATGTGCTTTTCAGAATTAAAACAACCTTGTTATGGATATAAGACAGTTTCCCTGTAGCTGGTTAGTCTCTGTGATGCCTCTGAACTCCTAATATTTGAATTTTTCAAAATATCTATGAGGAAAATGAATAATGAATGACTTTACTTCCAGAACCAGGACATACATAGAAGTGGGACTTGGACCTGTTGAGGTCCATAACCTCCATGTTTGTTTTGATATGGACAGACCATGCCTTTGTCTGATTGTTTTGTCCACCTGCCAATCATGCCCATCAGAAACCATAGCAGAGACTCAAAACATACTGAGCAAAAAGTCTAACAACTGCACGTCTACACAATCTACACATGAAGCTGTATTTATTTTATTCTACCACATTTCACCTACTTATGTTCCATGTAATCAGTGTTTTTTTTTCTCTTTCTCTTTATTGTCATGATGATCAGTCTCTGTAAAATATTAAAGATTACACTATTTTCTGATCTTTGTTATAATGTTTCCTCATCAAGTTGTTTTATTCACACATGTTTAACACACAAAACCTGCATATTTAGACTGAGTGCTTCTCTCACACTGAAAACACTTTGTTCCACCTTGTGATGTCAGCGCTCCACTGTGTTTTTAAACTCCATACACCTTCACTTGAATAACTTGGATAAATTCAGCCCTGGAATTGCAGACCTCTGCTGAACTAAAGGTAAAAGGAAACTGTTCACTTGAAAACCACCACTACATAACATCAGAAGGAGGAACAGAGCATTCTGAGCTTTGGAGATGTAGACAGCCTAATAATAAAGGGTTACTCAAAACACAACTCCAGGTATATTTTTGTTTTCCTTTGTTGTGTTTTCTCACATACCCAGTGAGCAGTCTGGTCCGGTCCAGTTCTGGTCACAGGTGCAGGAGTTGGTCTCTGCGTTGTAGGTGCCGTGGCCGGAGCACTGGTCGGGGCACATGGCTTTGGCGATCTCACAGCTGGCCCCGCCCCACCCCGGCTGACAGTGGCACTCGCCGTGGATACACACGCCATGGGCCGAGCAGCTGGGGTCGATGCAGTCCACTAGAGGGAGACAAACACAAGATGAGTCAATGTCAAATACAACATCAGACAAAAACAAATACACAGCCTGAGCTAAATGTGAGAACCATTATTATTATTATTATTTTTTAAATTAACTAAAGACAATATTTTGAGAAGAAATTGACGTCATTAATTGTTCACTATACTGATTATTTATTTGTTATACCTTGAAGCCTTTTTTAACATGTTTTATAACTTGAAGAAATACACAGAAATACAGAATAGGCACAGACACTGAGGATGCTAACTAGTTTAAATTTGCAGTGCTGCTTTGCTGAAAGTTGCACAATCTGGCATTAAATGTTTCCCTGGAGACATATCTGATGCCACTAGGCCAGGGCAGATCTGCAGAGAGGCAAAACCCACTCACACAGGTAGAATCTATGTTTTGTTTGCAATAAAAAACACATTAAAGGAAAAAAGAACATGCAAAGTAAATGATTATTTTAGATTTATGCAAAAGTTTTGTCAGAAAATTGGTTGACAGACGAAGGTTTAAGGCTATAACAAGCAGTCGGAACCAAGAATATAGAAAACCAATGTTATGTTTTAAAATAGCACAGCACTGAATAGAATTATCCACTGGGAATCAATCCAACCCACTCCAGCCTCCAACCACTTTCAAGGAAGATGGAGAATGTTTAAGAAGAAGAAAAAAATATAGATATAAATGTAGTAGTATATACAAAGAGCTGCACAAGATAAAAATGAAGATGTTAAAATGCCCTTAATAATCTGACTCACTCGAGGTTTGCTGCCAAGAAACAGAACGTATGGACTTGTAGATGTCTGTATCACTCGACTCTGGAGAGAATGTGCCCAGAAAACCATAAAATGTCACATGTGATGAACAAGGGAAGTGTGTGAAAATGAATGGAGTGGGATTAGGGTGATTTAAAGGTGTAAAGTGTGTCTTGGTAGAGGGTCTGCCAACTACAGTCTGCAATGGAGGCATCCTGTGCATGAAATATTCCACAGTTTGGCATTTTTCTTATCTATCTTGTATTTATTCGAAAGTTAGTGCAGTAGGTGAGACACTGCAGGTGAATAGAAAAAAATCAGAAATTACGAGATATCATTTTGAAACTTCTTCTGTAGTTTTACTTAAAAGAACATGTGAGAAAAAAAACGTATTACAAGTTTTTCGTCATGTTATGTTTTCATATAAATACAAGGCATTTTATGTGTAAAAAATGACCAAATTGACAATATTGTAGTTGTTATAGTTATTACAGTTGCTTCTTTTTGTTGACATATTAGATCAGGGGTCTCCAATCTTTTTCCTCCGATGAGCTACTTTTACAAAACAAAAATGCCAGAGAGCTACTAGTTTTAGCGGTCACGAGGAATTTAGTATATAAAAGAGCCACAGTGCGACTTTGATGAGGCACAGTTAGATCAGGGTGACCAGACGTCCCTATTTACCCGGGACAGTCCCAGTTTAGAGCCCTGTCTCCCCTGTCCAAGCAGATTTATACAAAACCAGTGATTTGTCCCAGTTTTATACAAGAAATGCCCCAGGTGTCACTATTTTTGACAAATGTGATCCCTGCCAACAGTAAAGAGAGCCACTAATTGTCATTTGTTTTGGTAAAATACAGAAAAGCTGCTGACAAAAATGACCAAAACACAAAGAAAATGTGACTATACTGACTCATGTTAGTCATAAATGGGCCGAGTGCAGAAACGTTTTCTTTGATTACTCATTCGATTCACAATTGTATTATTACCAACCACCACAAACCGAGGGTGTCCCAGTTTTTATTTTGAAAATCTGATCACCCTGAGTTAGATGCCTATAAAACAAAAACCATTATCCATTTATTACTTGCACAAAGTTGGGTATCAAAATGATGCATTGTACAATAGTAAAAGGCTTTTAATTCAACAAATTTTACTTAACCCTTCAGCACAATACATATAATTCAGAAACCCCTTGGCGAGCTACTTGGAAGGGAGTGGAGAGCTACTGGTGGCTCCCGAGCTACAGGTTGGAGACTCCTGTTTTAGATACTAAAAATACACAGAGGAGATTTTGGATATTTTATTTAGTATTTGAGTAAATTAAATCTGATGCTTCATTTTGTTAAACTAACAAAGCAGACTTGAAATTACATCAGAATAGGTCAAAATCTTGTTAAGTATGAGGTTGTAAAGTTTGGTGTGTGTAGGTGTCATTTTGTTATTATTCCCAGAAAGCGCAGGTCAAATTATTCCAGTGAAAGACCATTATATAAAACCAAATTGTTTCTATCAGTAACTCCAGAACAGTGGACTGAGTTGTTGATCTCCAAGCAGATGAATTATACTATAGAAAATACACAAAAAGACCAAAAAGGTTGAGCTATACGTGTTGAAATGTTTGGTTGTGACAGCGGGAGCCGGTTCTGTTAGCAACACCTTTGTAGTCTGTTTGCTCGATATGCAAAGTTCAATTTCACACCGCCCTGCTGGACATGTTTTAATGATATGAGCTCTGGTTCCGCATCCCTCCTTTTGTTTCACATATTACCCAAACCAAAGAAAAACGGCCTGCTTGTGTAATACTGAACCTGTGTAATATGGTTTATGTTAGGGTCCCCACATGTACAGAGAGAGATAGGCAGCTGGGGTTAATAAACGCTAAACCTGATTGGACGCTTCCCGGTCTATAGCTGGTTACAAAGAGCGAGGGACGGGCTGCTAATCAAAGCCGCTGTGACAAAAGAGGTTTTTCACACTGTAGGAATCTTTTGCAATTCTTGGTACTTTTTATTATCAGTCTGCATTTGATGTGTGTTCAGAGTAGTGTTTCAAGCTAAGAAATAGACTCAGTACTTAATAATGAGTCTGATACTATGATAATTTTAAATGTTAGTACTTTTGTTTATATTACCATGAGTGCGTATACATGTACATCAGTATCCCGGTTATGATCGGGTTTTTTGAGTAGCCCGGTTTCGTCATGGTGCATGTACACGCAGTATTCCGGTTTCAGTATCCCGAATAAAGCAGTATCCCGGTTATGAGAAACCGGGATACTGTAACTGGTATATTACGATAGTAACCGGGATACTGTGACATGTTTACACAGTATCCCGAATACTGCAACATAAAGTTGAGTGCGCATGCGTCCAACAGACAAATACTTTTCAGTCTTTTCCTCATAACAGTAGCCAGCATAAATAAAGTGTCCAACATAAATAAAGTGACCAACATAAATAAAGTGACCAACATAAATAAAGTGACCATACATGAGTGAAATGCCTGCGCTAAACCTGCACACAAATCTGCACTCGTATGACCTGCACACGTATGATCACTGAAAAGTTAAACATGAAATATCTCCTATGATATACGCACAGAACAGACTTACCATCACAGAAAAAACAGATATAATCCACTGAGTCGTGTCGTTTAGGCACAAAGAGCGAGCTGTTTTTATCAGCACTAACAGTTACATTAGCACTAACAGTTTATGTAAATGAGCCATGCGGTTTTAAGTTTCATTTCTGTAAAACATGAACAAATGCTGCAAATCTGAATTATATTATCGAACAGGCTGATGTGGTTATGGTTTATATGTTGTCAAGTTGAGTTTATTTATGCTGAATAATTTAATTAAAAATCTGCTGCAGTGTTCGGTTTGATCTGTGCAGTGGATTGTGGGATATCTCATAGCTCCTCACCGCTGGTTAGGAACCTCCCGAGCTTCCAAGGTGCTCATGGTTTGTATTTTTCCTGGTTTATTAAATTAAATAAAGTTAAATGTTGCACTTGTGCATTTGTAAGATTATGTCAAGAAACCGGGACACTCCATTTGATGTATACAGGGATATGAGTTTCTCAGCACGCATGTATACGCAGTATCCTGAATACTGACAGAACCGGGATATGGCTAATAACCGAGATACTGATGTGCACGTATACACACTGCATGTCGTCTTATATCTGTGTAATCTCTCAGTTGTCCCAGTAGGTCACATAGTGTTCCATGGGTGTATGTGCTCTTATACTTGTTCTGATTTAGCTCAAGATCACTGTAAATCTATTCAAGAACGGTTCATTTCTGTCCTGTGAATGTGACATTTTTACTGTCAATACTTGTTCAAAAAAGTATCTAGTTTGGACATTAGTGTTAGTATCGATTAGTAGCTGATTTTCGATACTTTTGTCAACCCTAATTCATACAGAAAAATATAAAATGGGGCTACACGTTTACACTATTTTGTATTTAACCACAATGAATATACACATGGGCTGTTTTGCTATCAACTAATTACATCTATGTACCACTGATTTTCTTCAAATATTTGCCAATTTACACATTTATATATTTTCTTATACAACGTTTCTGTTCTGTGGTAGAAATAGAAAACAGCTTTTTGCAATAGCAATAGTTCGCTACTCATTATCCTCCATGGTCTTTATCAAAACTGAAATTTAACCAATTTCCCAATCTAAAACTGGCCCTGAAAAAAACAAAAAAAACAAACACACAATTTGATTTCATAACATTTTATCCCTCAATTTAGTACATGCAATAACACCACTTGTCTGCTTTTGTCTGGGTGTCTGCTATCTGTGTGTCTCATGAGATGTTATTATTATTATTATTGCTGGAATGTTCCACCATGAGGCATTAAATCTTGTATTTATTCAATTACAAGTGTTTGATTGCTTAAAATGGTAAATGATCCAATTTTTATGTAACGCTTTTCCAACTTCGATGCACTCAAAGCGCTTTACATCAAGAAACCACTCGCACCGGTGTACACATACACACTAGGGATGAGGGGGGCTAAGTGTCTTGCCCAAGGACACAATGGCAGCATTCAATTTGATTTCATAACATTGTACCCCTTGATTTAGTACACGCATTAACACTATTTGTCAACACTTGTCTGCTTTTGTCTGGGTGTCTGCCATCTGCGTGTCTCATGAGATGTTATTATTATCATTGCCTGGAATGTTCCACAGTGAGGCATTAAATCTTGTAT